TTGGGGGGGCTAGAACTTTAGACTGTCATCACACATACCGGTACGTTCATGTACAATGAATGCATGTAAAATATTTCACAGTAAAAATGCCGGAGGGGCCATATTTTTCTTTTAGGAATGTCTCACTTTCCCACCCTTTCTCACCCTGTCAAAAATTAAATCTGTGTCACATTCTTACATGAACAAAGCAATGCAAGTCTTGTAGTTTTTAAAATTTGTTCCACATGAACGTGTAAAAAGTTGTTCCACATGAACGGGTAATGTTTTTTTTATCTACACCAGCCCAACTGCAGGATGCTACCAGTACGAAGTTGAACAATTTCCCGGGAACACAGAGAACAACTGCTGTGCTGGTTTATTCTGTATACAGAGAGATACTTGGATCCTGATTGATTTGTACCATACTCTGAAAAGAAAGGAACCACAGCACTCAGTCTGCACTCATAAACAAGAACATTTTCTGGTCACACAAGGTCCAAATTTCAATACACTTGACAAATGACATTTCATGACAGTTAAAACAAGCCATTAATTCTTTGCACTTGGCTGGGGTTATGTCTCCTACGTGCATTACAAAAGTACATACCTTCGTTCTACGTAAGTCATGCTGAACTATCGGTACAATGTCCATGTGAACACATGTACTACCATACACACTGTACATGTACATACAGATATTGCATTGAAATCACAAGTTTTCATAATGCTCTGAAAGATGTTTTGGCTCATTTGGTTACACAGTCTTGAGGCCTTTTCACACTATCAACTTGCCAACGCAACACGGGTCCGCCATGAGCAGAAGAGGGTACCATCAAACACTGGTCGACACGATACATGTACAATGTACATGTCCCACTCACCGTTCACACTATGTGGACGTGGGTCAGCTGTCAACTTCCACTTTTTTACCAGGGAAGAGGAGCCTCTTAACCCTGGTCAAGAGAGTTTACCCGTATAGAGCGCCAGACCTGTGTAGAAGCCGTCTTTGATTTTGCTAGTGTGAAACGGATTCCTGAAATCTCTGTGTTGGGCCCATAACCATCATGGCGATTTTGGAGAGTGTGAACGGTTCTTTGGATGGTACTCATTTGCACGGCATGCATGTACTAAAATACATACATGTACATGTACGGGTACATGTACCAATGTGACAAGCCAAGGGAGAATTTGTGATTTGAAGCTAAATACCAGTATTGTATTAATTACGGTACATTTAAACTTACATGTTGCCCTGATACAAGTGTACAATGTTACTGTAAAGCCCTAGTCATGACTTCTTTTCTATCGTGATGGTGCCATGATTATTTGTTGTTGATCCAGCAATCATCACCGGCTTTGCAACCAGACAAATCTGGAGCTCTTCCTAATTGTCAGGCTTTAATACTAGCATGAGAAATGAAAATAACTGTTTTGCCGCCGCCGGAAAAAAAAAAGAAGAAAAAAAACAGCCATGGTCTTTTAACAGTGTAAAGTCTGGAAGACAAACACGAATCTCTGCAGCGTTCGCACAGAAAGCACGGAGGGCCCTCCAGTCCGCATTGTCCAGACAGGACCAATGGGGGGCACTGACACACTAAGTAAGCAGGCTGAGAACAAAAGCCATTCATCCACTCAATAAAGTCGCAATGAGTCACGACATAATGGCCTGCCTTGCTAATGTATGGGTCTGGTATCTCGGTCTGGGTCCTTGCTCTATGGTCTGAGGTATGGGAGCCTATGCACAAACAAATAGACAGGGGTCACCACTGTTTGCTTTTTAAATTCCACTGATTGTGGTTTATATGAGCCTCGAAATGTAGGTCACTCAGAATTTTTTTTTAACAAAGTTGTACTGACGGTCAGGCACATGTACATGTTGTAGCTCCATGATGAGCCACTGTTGGCACAGTCATGACAGTTGCCACAGTTGGAGTGTTCAGAAGCATTGTAGACAAATGAGGAAATTATCAAAGTTGGCAGTAAGAACCAAGTTAATTAAAATCATCAAGTAATTCTTGCTACATTCCCAGTGACTATCATTACAAAAGCCATATAAGTTAAAGCCCGAGTCCATCATTTGCAGCTATCCAAAAAAGTAACCGGCGAAATTATTGTTGAAAAACATACTGGTTGAAAGATAGTAAGGGGACTAAACTCCCTGTGAAATTATCCTTTCTGGCAAGCTCTCATTTTGAAGAAATCAACGAAAGAAGGCATTTCCAACGTTGCTTCTTAAGAAGCACCGTAGGAAATTTTAAATTAGTTGTTCGTTTTGTTATTCGGCGCAGCGCGCACAAGCATTGGAACGACGCACAGGCGCGCGCGGTTGCTATAATTCGTTGGATCAGTGCGCAACCTCGCGTAAAGCTGCAATTCAAAACAATTCGAAACATGATTTAGCAACTTTTGATTTTAAATTGAGATCCTAGAATGCTGTTTTTCTCGGAATATGAAGCTGAAGCTGAGCTGAAACTTCATCAAGTAAGTTGTTCAGTATCCTTCATTAGATTTTGAACACTTTTGTTGCTTCAAACGAACAAAATGCACTAATTACAAATGATGGACTATAGCTTTAAGCTTGGGTAATTGTGTAGTTTAGGACACCCCTGATGTTTTACAAGTTCCGTTCATAAATCGAAACCCTGCCCTTTCCTCAAAATTAAGCTAGCTGATATATTCAACATGGTTTTCTCTTAATCAAACCAAACACAGCTTGAGTAACTCCAGCTCCAATGCTCATCAGGAATTTGACATTCTAAATGTTGAATTCCTGATGAGCATTGGAGCTGGAGTTACTCAAGCTATAGCCCCATAAATGTGGCCAATTTACTGGACTACCTCCGTAAATAAAGGCCACACTTGGAACATGTACCCAAACATGTAGAACTTTGTCAAATTTTGATCTTCATATTTAGGCTTTGTTTGTAGTTTATTTTTGCTTTAGAAGCATACTCACCCTTTTTATTGGATAGGAAAAAAGTGCTGCATTTGTCAGACGTCTATTTTTCGTGTAATTTCCAGATTCGTTGCACACGTTTGCGTATCAAAATTTCAACATGAAGTTACACGAAAAATACTAGACATCTGAAAAATGCAGCACTTTTTTTTCTAGATCCTAGAGTAGAGGGTGAGTATGCTTCTAAAGCAAAAATAAACTACAAACAAAGCCTAAATGTGAAAACCAAAATTTGGCAAAGTTCTACATGTTCGGGTACATGTTCCAAGTAAGTGTGGCCTATATTTACGGAGGTAATCCAGTAAATTGGCCACATTTATGGGGCTACTCAAGCTATAATATTGAATTAGGTGATTCCAAACACATAGCGACTTTTCCCGCTTGTTGTATCATGTGTCTTCTCATGCTCTTATATGGGCGATCGTGAAGTGAAGTGAAGGGCCCGGTTCCTATATAAGGGAACAAAATCCACTTTATTAAATTATTGGACCTACCAAACTAGTTGGCGACATTCTCAATTAAACAGGTATGTTCATAGATAGAGGGCAGGGTTTTGATTTTTTTGAGGGAAATTTGGGGGTAAAATGACGATGACAGCGCGGCGACAACACACGACCCGAAAATAAAGATGGCGATCACCGTGCGATGTACTGTGAGCATGCACGGCGCATTGAATCGCAAGGCATAAACCGCGCAGGAAACTCGTGATTTCTACCCCAAGAATCTGTTCAAAATTGCAAATCGGGTGTCATTAGAATTGAGAATAGTCTGCTTTTGGTAACCCTTTCTTTAGGACACTTCTATTTTTTACAAGTTCTGTTCAAAACTGACTTTTGCAGATGACTGTCCATGACCAAAGTGACTTTTGCAGGCTAAAGCAGTCTTTTTTCTTCATATAAACTCATGTTAGTTGTAATTTTGAAAGCACTTTCAAAGAAAATGTGACTTTCCTACCTTTTTTGCAGTCAGATGTGCATACTTCTCACAACATGGGTGAAAGCCCTACATAATGTTAGCCAGATGCTGATTGGCTGCTAAAAAAATAAGATGCTTATTTTTTTATCAGCCAATCAGCATCGAGCTTTCATTGAATCGAGCTTTCACGTTTGCCATCTTGGATTTTGAGTCTGTTTTCTGGTTGTCATCATCTTTTACCCCTTATCAATTTCCCTCAATCATAAATCAAAGCCCAGCCCTCTTTCCACAAAATTAAACCTGCTGATATTTAAGAATTAAATTGTCATTGCCAATTCAATTGTTCAGATGTGTCAAGAAATATGTCAGAATGTCAATTTTGAGTGTCATTTAGTCAACTGTAACTTGTAAGGTGATTTTTTGAGCAATACATTTTTTTTTTTACTCTAATTAGTAATTTGATCAAAACAAAACAGGGGCCCTACACTTCACGATAGCCCTTATAATGGAATGGGGTCCAAAACCATGGACCAAATACACATAGCATGATGTGTCCGTGCCTAAACAACCACCAGCTTGAGTCTTTTCAGTGCATCTCAATCACCCATGCGTATAGCCCCATAAATGTGGCCTATTTACTGGACTGCCTCCGTAAACATAGGCCACACATCCACATGTACAAAAACGTGTCGCACTTTGCCAAATTTTGATTTTCACATTTAGGCTTAGTTTGTACATGGAGGTAGGAAACCTCCATGATTTGTAGGATTTTTTTGCTTTAGAAGCATGCTCACCGTCTTTATAGGCTAGTCACTAGTCAGAAAGTGCCGTCTAATTTTTGTGAAATTTCATGTTGAAATTTTGATACGCAAACGTGTAAAAATGAATCTGGAAATTTCACGAAAAATATACATCTGAAAAAGGCAGCACTTTCTGATTAGCCTATAACATTGTATAAAGAGGGTGAGTATGCTTCTAAAGCAAAAAAAACCTACAAACTAAGCCTAAATGCGAAAATCAAAATTTGGCAAAGTGCGACACGTTTTTGTACATGTGGATGTGTGGCCTATGTTTACGGAGGCAGTCCAGTAAATAGGCCACATTTATGGGGCTACCATGCGTAATGAATGGCAGGATTGGGACAACTCACCTGCAACTGACAGCAACGTGGCGGCGACTACAACGGGCCACAAAATCACACATCTCAGCCCAATCACAGTCCTAAAATGCCCCATATCTTGACGTTACAGGGTAGCTGCTTTCAGTACAATTCCAAGTTACCAGCAATCAAGAGGATTCAGCTTTAAGAAAAGATGGACAAAAACTTTAAAAAGGTGAACACGGACAGAGTAAGCGGTTTTCAGACGGTATCCATCTTCGCCCACATGCACACAGCTGACATGACTGACTCGACTACTGACAACCGTGCAGATCGTACATGTATGAACGAACCAATGTAAGATGCATATTATGCATTGTGCAATGCCTTTGTGTGTGTATGTGTAGCGCTACTTCTCACCTGATCGGCACATGAACTATTGAGGGCGGTATTTCAGCCACTCGTTTGCTTGGGTTTTTTGGGGGGGGGATCAGTAAACTGGTCCCGAGGGGTGGATCCTCAATTCCTAAGTAGAGGGGCAATATTTTTATTTTGTATAATAGCTTCAAAAACTTAGCTCTTCTTTTGTTTTCATTCCTGATTCTCGAGTAGAGAGGGCTGTTTGCTGATAGTTTCGTTGGTAGGCCCCCAAAAAGTTAATGACACCTACTTTTATGTTCTTTTTGATGTTTAATAACCGGTTTAGTTTTATTATGTTCCCATCGAAACAAAATGCACCAATGGGTCGCTGCACGTAAATGGTACAAACCAAGGTTTACCATAGAAACAAATAAACCCACTTTTCCATACAATTTTGACATGCAAGAGGAACCGTTTGGAAATACAGGTTTTAAGATTTGAGCATGTCATGTGGGTAACATTGGGTAAAACGTGGGGAAAATATCCAAAAATTCCCTATATCTCCGTTACTCGGAAATTTGCACCTTTTGCTCCTTGTCTAATGACTTTATAGCTTATTCATTTCAAGGAAATCACCCATTATCATCATCTAGATAATCGGGCACATCATCACAGGCGCGGATCCAGAGGTGTTTTTTTTTTTGGGGGGGATCACATACATTTAAAATAATGTCAACCCCCCGCTCTGACACCCCACAAATAATGATAATAATATCCGCCTGTGCACAGAATTTGTCAGAGCCAGCTGGGTTACTGGGGTCTTTCTACACTATTCTGTTATATAGTGTTGATGATCGTCGGATTTGAACAGCGCCCATGGAAAGCCCCCCCCCCCGGGCGTTGCAGTCTTCCAAGGGCGGATCCGGGGGAGGCAACGGGGGCCATGCCCCCCCCCCCCCCAAAAAAAAAAAAACACGAACCCATTTTTCTTTTAAGTGACGTCGCAATAAAAGCAGGCACTGCGTACACCACCATCTTTTCCTCCAAAAAAATGGTTAAAGTGGTGAAAAATGGTTAAAGTGGTGAAAAATGGTTAAAGTGGTCAGATCGCATCACAGAGTATCTAGAATCCAAAAATTGCTTGGGGCCCTTATAAGCAGGCCCCGAACCCCTCGCCGTAATATTTGGGACCCACTTTTGGGGGACCAAATGTTTTTTTTTTGGCCCCCCCCAAAAAAAATGTGTTCTGGATCCACCCTTCCAGTCCTCCAAAATGAAAAGTAGATGCCCATCAGTGCAGTTCAGTAGTCTTGTCCAAGGTTTCTGGCTACACCAGTGACATCGACCACTCTCCTCTTCTTGCCTACACAACAAGCCCGCGGGAACGGGGGGGGGGGGTGCTGTTGGTGCTGCAGCACCCCCAACTTTTTGGATTGGGGTGCTGGAATATGCTTCAGCACCCCCTATTCCTTGGCAAAAATGTGTTCCAGCCAGCATTGTTCTACGACGATGAAATTGCGCCGCTACGCTATACATTATGCTTGCTCCACCAATATCTCCTTCGTTTTGTTCGTTTCTAGTTTTGCCGCGGCTAAGCGCGGCGCCTTGAACGTCTTGCACAAACACTGTAAAATATCAAGAGGAGGTATTTTCTAAATCTTCAGGCAGTGCATGTAGAATCGATATTTCTCTCAAGGTATTTAAAATTATGACATGTCTATGATATTTCCGCCATGATGGAAGCTTTGACCCGAAAGCAATAACCTCGGCCATGACAATGGTGGCAAAGTTGGTTATGCTTGCCACGATTTTTTTCATTCGATCTTTCAATAGGGGCAAAGTTCATACCTTTCCCCTGAAGGTTTTTCTTTTCATTTAAAAGTTTTATTGACGTTCCTAGCATTCTGTACTTCAACATTAACAAATAGCGAGGTTCACACACATCCCCAAACCTAATAGGAGTGGGACGGGCTTTCATTGAAACTACATGTAGTCATGCTTTACGCCAATTCCAGTGTAGTTTTGTTTTTAATAAAAACGCTATTCATGTTTTACCCTCTGCATGCAACGTTTTCCTCATAAAAACTCAGTAGACCGATGAATCCTTGCCTAGCCAAAAACTTGCCATCTACCGATCATAAACATAAAGATGCATTTAACTTGGTCTTTTAGTCTTTTATATTTGCCATTCCCTGTAACAAACAAATAACACTGCAAATATATCGAGAGCTACATCGTTTGGTGAGTTAGAACTCAAGTGAATACTTTTATGAACAGAAATTCATCCGCTTCCAGTGGAACCATTTGTTATAACTTGAACCAAAAAACATCCTTTCGGGTTTTATAAGTTTCAGTATACTTCAGTAAATTTCATCACAGTGCATCCAGAATCCACAATTTTCCGGGGCCTTAAAGCGGGCCCCTGGCCCTGTGGCCCCACGCCGTAAGGGCTCAGAAAATATAACAAAACGTACACGAAGGTATTTACTAAGTGTAAGAAAGCAGCCTTGCAACAACATGCGATGTCATGCATAATGATACAATTCTTTGTCCTGAATTAAATGGAACCAAATATGGAGATACAAATACAGGGTTCTCCACTTTTCAGTACAGTTAAACGTTTTAAGAGCAACAGTATATTCTAAACAAAATAAAGAAATAATTATCTTTGTAATCTCAAAAAACTTTTGCTAAAAATGTCAAAGGAAAATGGCCAGGAAGCGCCTCAGATTGCACCACAGAGCATCAATATTCTAAATTAAGCCACGCCGTAAGGGCTTTGCGCTCCGCTTTTGCATTAATTCTGTCCGTCCTTTAGAAATTCCAGCATCCCCTGGCAAAAGTTTGCTCCAGCGGCAGTGCTACACAAGTCATGTGAGGGAAAAAGGAATTGCGGGGAAAAAGAGATCTGTCAATGTGTGGCATGCATTCACGTACGACTGGCCCAGTTTCGTAGAGTGAAAAGGTGTTTTTTTTCTTCTCTGGATATAATTTGATTAGTATCCGTTCCCTGCTGCTTGGACACGAGGCTTTGGATCTCACCGTACCACACATCAACTTCATAATTTGATGCAGATGGATGGTGTGCCTCGTCCTCCACGATGAGAACCGTTGGAGCAGTACAAAGGAGGCTACATCAACTGATGAAGTTGATGACTTGTCTGTGATCCACAGCCTCATGTCAAAGCAGGAGAAAACGGATACTCGTGTCATCCTTTACCTGATCGATACGCGGTTGAGGCTGGAATGCCGATGTTCATACACCAGACACAAACATTGTTTTCATCCACAGTTTACATTATCTACAGCAACTAATCAAAATATATTCAGAGAAAAAACACCTTTTCACTCTACGAAACTGGGCCACTCAATCGTGAATTCAGGCCACACAATGACCGATCTCTTCTTTCCACAATTCCTTCTGTCCCCACATGACTTGTGTAGGCGAGAAGAGGAGGGTGGTCGATGTCACTGGTGTAGCCCGAACCCTTGGACAGAACTACTGTCCTGCACTGATGATCATCTACCTTTCACGGGGAGGACTGAAAGTCGTCCCATACCGCAGAAATTCCCCAAATATCAGGATGCTTTTAGGCATCAGGGAGTTTGTGGAGTGGAAGCTGAGGCAGGAGATTTATGAGTTGTTGGAGGAATTCACCTGCTTGCTACAGTCATGCTCGCCTCACTCATGATGACGAGATGAGGCGAGGACAGTGATGCTCAAGAAGATGGTTCGGGATGAGGAGAACCTGAACAGTAATTCTGTCTACCCTGCAAAGACTCTCTCATCCCTAATAATCAACCGAGTAAGCTACAGGGTGTGTCAATTCAAGCGGTCCCACGTCCAAATTTACGAACTAGCTCCCAAAACCAGAGGATGGACATGGCTGGGTGAAGACCGATGGCACTCTCGAGCCACTTTGGTCACTCGGTCCAAAACTTCCTCCTTCACTGCTCTCGTACAGTTACTTTTGAAGCAGATTTTGTGGTAGCTGTGAATCAACCTTGCCATTGCACGCTGGAAATACCAACACCAAGCACACGATATAAACCCATTACATGCTAATTGCGGTATCGAATCAGGATACAGGAAGAAAGTTTCCCATTCAGGGCTTACTATTGGAAACGATGTTGAAAATAAGGTAAGCCCTGGGGACGAGGTTGTGCTTGCGTCAGTTGTTCTTTGCACTTGACTCAGGTATATATCTGTGACGTCAAAACTCACGAGATTGTCACTTTTCCTCTAGGGCTACGTACCAGCAAAAAAGTTTCACTCAAATTGCTGATGAAACTATATACGGATACTACGGATATTGTTTTGGGGCAACCTTCAAAAATCCATTAACTCGAGTTTAATGAATTTGTGGGGAAAAGGCTCGAAAAGCTCTTGAACTTAGCGAACTCCTTCAACAAAATGAACGTCAAAGTACGAACCTTGGGTGAAGGATGGGATTGACTTTTTGGGGGGCTAAGTGCTGGCAGTGTTTGTTGTTTCTTTGTTTGTTGGTGTGTTTATTTGTTTTTCAGCTTCGTTGACACGGTTGAGGAGGAACCGAAGACACATTGTAGTAACTCTAGCGTTCAGGCTGTTCGTACGCACATCTCTCGAAAGCGAAGCGTGAGACCGACCGTTGTTCATTTTTATATAACGCCTATCGGTACTGTGCACTTTAAAAAGCCCTGCCAACAGGTCAGATTTGAGCCGGACGGCGGGTCACATTTCACCTGGTACTTTTCAGGGTCAAAATAACATTTTCCCGATCTTTGTCCAGTCAGGTCCCCCAAAAAAACCTTCGGGATGAGAGCCACTTTTTCTATATATTTGGGGGAAATGACCAGCGGAGACTTCATAGGGAATATATATTACTGCCTTACCTTACCGTTCAGAGTAACACAAAATTCGTCTGGGTTTACTTTGTTGATTTTTCATCATCAGCTCTAAATGCATTTCAGCATTGGCCTACGAATGCAATCAATTTGAAGCCCCATTAGCCCTAGGCCTATTCATTATTTAATTAAAAGAAACAGTACAAGTGTACCTATAAGTATAGTTTTACGATTAAGTGGTCTCTTCACGTTTATTAACTTATAACGTTTGAAATATTCGAATGTAATTGTGAAGCCCATAATTCTGAAGTGTTTGGTAGGGTAACAAGGACGTTTGCATTGGGCGCCAAGAAGCGCTTTCTGGGGCTGCATGAGACGGTGTGAGGGCTTCTGTTCGTCTCCCGTTGTACAAAAAACGGGAGTTTGGGCGCATGGACAAGCCCAAACGCAGTCTATAAATCGCCCACAAAATGACCCAAATTCGTCATTCCTACGACTCAACAGCTGCAGAATGATGCTGAAGATTGTCGTGCTTGCCGTGCTGGCCTACACGGCTTACTCCAAGCCAGGGGTACGTATAGACTCTTCATTCAGTGCATCTTTGCAAGATAATTTTCGAACATTGCCGATTATTGTGTCGATATTTATTTTACTAACATCCAGGTTACTTCATAATACCTCGTTTATTATGTCTTTTTTTGGATACAGCTTTTTGCACAACTTTTTTTTATTACAGCTGAATGTTATCCTGTCAGACAAATGGTTTTCAAAAACCTGTACCAACCTGAATAATGTTAAGATTGCTCTCCCTGTACATCCAAATAGACCAATCAGCAGCTTAGTCCACGCATGTTTACGTTACATACCAAGTGTGGACATTCCCTTGGTTTCGTGTAGTTAAGAAAGTGGACATTCCCTTGGTTTCGTGTAGTTAAGAAAAACCATGGAGTCAAAAAAAGCTCATTTTTCTCAAACTGTGAAAACTCAACCCATTTTTCCCCCTATGATCCCCTTTAGTGTTTCTCTTCATTTTGCCACCTATAAACCTAACCCAAAAATGCCTCTATAAACCTGTTTTCCAGAAATGGGGAAACACCGTGTTGTCTCCTCTGCCACACCAAGGGCGGATCCAGAACACAATTTGGGGGGGGGGGCCAAAAAAATTGTGGTCCCCCAAAAAAGTGGGTCAAAAAAATTACGGCGTGGGGTTCGGGGCCCGCTTAAGGGCTCCGAAATTTTTTTGGGATTCTAGATGCTCTGTGGTGCGATCTGAGGCAATTTCTGACCACTTTAACCAATGTTTTTTTGAGGAAAAGATGGTGGTGTACTCATTGCCTGCCTTTATTGCGATGTCACATACAAACAAAAAATTGGTTTCGTTTGGGGGGGGGGGGGGGGCATGGCCCCCTTTGCCCCCCCCCCATCCGGCCTTGTGCCACACACGTAAACACCGGCAATCGTGGACGTCCCATTGTCCCTAATCCTCTTTCCTTTGTTTGTTATCTAACTTTTTAGCAACAGCTCTCATTGGTTTTGTGTGGACGTATTGTTTGTGCCCCAACTCTTTTGTCCTACGTCCACGATTGCCGGTGTTTTCACACGCACACCCACACACCCTAATTATTGTCGTTAGCTTTATTCATGATATTTCAGTTAACCTTTATCTGTCTTTCCTGTGCATACTCATCCACTTCGTTATAATTCATCCCTGTTTATCCTTTGCAACTAACACTGAGCTGTGCTTTGCGGGGCATTTTGCCACTAATCGACCCGCGCATTGCTGCTGTTTTTGTGCGGGGCGACTCCCCTAAAAAAGCTCAGTGTCGCTTGGACTCACTTCCCTTCTATTGCAGGGAACACTTGGCCGGCCGCGAAATAATATTTACATCTAAACATTAGAAAACATTCATTATCTTTTAGGGGATCGTGACATAGATTTTACTCTAAAATATATTCTGCACTTGCTACTCCTGCTAAATGTAAACCTTACATCTGACCTCCCTTTCGGGTTAATGTTATTATGTAACGTGCACTTTCGGAACTATTTGGCATTTGCCAGTTTTTCTTTTTCTCATGACAATTTCGCGCGTTGTTGCTGTGATGTGATTTCATGAAGGCACTGTAGTAATTAAGAGTTTTCTGTACTATTTATGAACCACGCTTCATGTTGTGCTTCCTGACCCTTTTCTGCCAAACGTTTGCTACCTAGCATATTGCCATATACCTGTATCATAACAACAAACTATTTAATAGCAACACCGCTAAAACAGCCAAATGTCCATGATTCTGGTCCCGCATTGTGCTAAACTATTTGTGACATTAAGGTATGTGTTTGAGATGGCATCACACTTGTGCCCTTACATTTGGAGTTTCTTGATATGGCAGAACAACCTTGAGATTGAAAACAAGGGTAAAGGGGGCACCTATTATCATGTTTACAATTTCCGATGTTTTCCTGCTGTATTTTCTTGTCATTATATCTTTACAATCACAGAAAAGTGTGTTGCATTAATGTTTTACCTATTGCCTGTGTAATATCTGGTTGTAGGCCATCAATTTTTCTCTAGATTTTGTGCTTTAAACCAATACGGCTCATTCATATTATTGAGTAAAATATTTATCCTGTACATTAACGGGATGGGCGAAAACCCCGTGAAAAAACTTTTTGAGGAAAAAAACACGGGGAAATTCCCAATCCGGCTCCAGAAGTGGCAACCAAGTTTATAACTCCGTAGATCGGCGTGTTTTGAACTTATTTATTAATTGCTTCAATTGTTCTGACTCATGGCTTTATTAAGTTCTGGTTCTGATGCTATCCTAGTGCTAAATTGTAATCTTTGCGCCACTCACTGCCAACCTTCTCGTAACATTCCTTTATTTCCAATATTTTGGAACGTTCATCTCTAGTTAAGTTGAGCTTTAAGCTTTAAATATGTAGACGATCTGACACTTGCAGAGGTCCGTCATGCTAATGAATCTAGCCAGATTGGATTTGATCTTGACGGCCTGGATGCGTGGACGAAGGACAGCCACCTCAGGCTCAATCCTACCAAATGCAAAGTTATGCAAGTTTGCTTCAAAAAAGACCCTCCAACACCACCTTGTCTTAAAATTGGTGGGATTGAGCTTGGGGTGGTGTCCGAGACTAGGCTTTTGGGCCTGATAGTCCAATCTAATCTTGGCTGGCAATCTCAGGTTATGATATGGTCTCAAAAAGTAGTCGTAGGTTATACATGCTTGGCCGCCTGAAACAGTTTGGTTGGCCTATCGACGACTTGGTCTCTGTGTATACTTGTTATGTCCGTCCAATTTGTGAGCATGCAGCCCCAGTTTGGCATGGTAACATCAGCAATAATCAGACATATCAACTTGAACGCATTCAAAAGCGTGCATGTCGTATTATTCTTGGAGCTGACTATGAGTCATACTCAATCGCTTGTGATCGGTTAGGCCTTCAAACTCTGGAAGACAGAAAGACTCCATCTCTGTTCCCCATTTGCTAGTAAATGTACAAAATCAGTTAGATATGCAGAATGGTTTCCTACTAACAATAGCACCCACAAAATTACTCTGAGACAATCCAACATTTACCAGATTCCACATCACAAAACAAATAGGTATGGCAATAGTGCAATTCCCTCTCTGACAACACTCCTGAACAAGAATTCCTTAGCAGCAATAATAACAATAATAATGTTATGTCCCCTTTTGTGTGTTCTTAGATTTATATTTAAACTGTAGATACATGAAGTTCTGTAATTCTTATTCATTTTAAATTCAAATTTTTCTTGTTGAATTTTCTTGTTGAATTTTCTAGTGGTTTTTTATTTTCTTGTAATAACCATGCAATTCAGCGTCCGGCTGCGAATTGGTCTAATAAAATATGAATATGAATATGAATATTTAGCCTTCCAATAACCTGTTGACCTTCTTCAATTTAAAGGTCGCTTTCAAACAGTTGCCTTATTTTCCCTTATCTATCACGAACTTTTAGTAATCTTGCTAACGCTGGCGTTGCTTCTAGAATATCATTTTCTTTTTTTTTCAAAAAATTGAGACCTTATCTTTACTGTGGTACCTGTTGTTTACAACTCTTTTTGCAATATTCCTTGATTACCATGCTCTATAATCTTGACTTTATTTTTTGATTTTTTAAATTTATTTATTTATTATTTTTTTTAATAGTTTTTTTCGAACTATTTCTAAATTCACCAATATTTATTTCTGGTTATTTTGTTCTTTTTATTCTTTCTTGGCCTTTTAAGGGCAACATGTCATGTCGTATATTCGGTATTACTTTCCCATAATCTCTTACCATCATTAAAGTTACTTTGATGGTTATTTAATAACATTACCTGACTCTCATTGAAACAATGACTTAATTTCCGTAATACTATTTTTTCTAACATTACCTGAACAGGATTAGTAAAATTGACTTGGTTATACTCTGACTTACTATCTGTAATCAATTTGTCAAGAACTTTCAATTTTTGCTTGAATCATTTATGTTATATAGGATGAATTATGTTTGTTAGCTAAACTTGATCCGGCCACCATTTACCCATGTAAAACTAACCGGAGTTTGATGTCCTGGTTTGTTTTGTGGACCTTAATAAATTGCCTACTATAAGTCCGTGTGAAAGCACTGCATAAGTTACTTCAAATTAAGCTTTCTTATAGGTGCATCCAGTGCACTTGCTCAGTGTTTCCGGTGGTTTTGGTAATTAATACAATAGTTGTTATGAATTGTGTTAGCTTACTCTACTAAAGGAGGCGTCTTTCTACTATTTGGTTTTTCAACTTTGAGTTTTTCGATAACAACTCGTATCGCGGGTGTCAAGTGCTTAGTCTCCGTTTCAGACACCGTATCTTCTGAATATTATATGTATTTGTATACTAACTGCAACCCTTGGCATACTTTTCCAACGGCTAAGTTTATTTTATCCGTATTGTAGGTTTGTCTTGGGTGAGAGAAGCCAGCCTTTCCCCTTTCTGCACCCTGTTTTGTTCAGTCTTTTGTGTGTCAATCAAGGGCGGATCCAGAACACAATTTTTTTGGGGGGCCCAAAAAAATGTTGGTCCCCCATAAAAGTGGGTCAATAAAATTACGGCGTGGGGTTCGGGGCCCGCTTAAGGGCCCCGAATTTTTTTGGATTCTAGATGCTCTGTGGTGTGATCTGAGGCAATTTCTGACCACTTTGACCAATGTTTTTTTGAGGAAAAGATGGTGGTGTACTCATTGCCTGCCTTTATCGCGATGTTACATAAAAAAAAGAAAAGGTTTCGTGGGGGGGGGGGGATGGCCCCCTTTGGCCCCCTCCTGGATCCGCCCTTGGTGTCAATTAGCTGAAACGGATTATCCCGTTCTTGCTGAATGATTCTACGTGCGTTTTGACTATTCAATCTTTCACCCGTGTATTATCAAGATTAACCTTGCAATCAAGGGGGTCATTACCTGATAGAGTAGGGAATTGGTTAAAGCTACAGTCCATCATTTGTAATTTGTGCATTTTGTTCGTTTGAAGCAACAAAAGAGTTCAAAATCTAATGAAGGATACTGAGCAACTAACCTGATGAAGTTTCAGCTAAGCTTCAGCTGTATATTCCGAGAAAAACAGCATTCTAAGATCTCAATTTCAAATCAAAAGTTACTGAATCATGTTTTGAATTGTTTTGAATTGCAGCTATACGCGACGTCGCGCACTGATCCGACGAATTATAACAACCGCACGCGCGTGTGCGTCGTTCCAATACTTGTGCGCGCTGCGCTGAATAACAAAACGAACTACAAATTTAAATTTTCCTACGGTGCTTCTTAAGAATCACTGTTGGAAATGCCTTCTTTCGTTGATTACTTCAAAATGTCAGCTTCCCAGAAAGAAAAATTTCACAGGGAGTTTTAGCTTGAGATAGCTTTTGAAAATCCAAAGATATGTTTGAATAACGGCAAAGCCAAGAAGCCCATTTTGTGCCACTTTCTGTGAAGCAGTTAAAATCAGTATAGTCCTTATCTAAAACCAAATCATTTTACTGTTAGTGAGTTTAACATTTTAAGCAGAGTGTGCAATATTTATTTATATTTAATTGAACTCTTTCATTGAAGTTGAACCTTAAGTTGAAGTTAAAGAAGTGAACCTGTCTGTACTATTAAATCGTTTCAACATAAGAACAAAACCCTATATTGTCGTGTGAATGGAATGTCTGTCTTACTCCCATAGGGATAATCTTATCAAAAGAGCCATACTGGCATTGTCTGATCTTTGAAGCACTCGCTTCCTAAAAGTGGCACAGAATGGTAGTTTTGGCTTTGCGGTTATTCAATCATTTCTCTGGATTTTCAAAAGCAATCTTAATTAAACAAACGGTACTCTCAAGCTAAATCTGTAACCTTGAAGATCATGTAAACATTTGCAGTAAATTCCGATTGTAATTTGGCGAAAATGGCGGGGTTTACATGCGCCATTATTTTCAGGGCACCCTGTATGATTTGCATTTTCATGATTATGTAACCACGTACTAAATGGGATTCAGCTTTCTGCTTTGTTCCCTGTGATTCTTGTGTAAGTGCCACGTACAGCTCACAACTCCCACTGGGTTGTGATGCACTATAAATAGAATGACCAATCATCCATGAATTTAATTAAGAGTTACTTAATTTATTTACAAAATGTGTAAAAGACACCACCCAAAATTATTTCCAAAGAAGTATAAAAGGATGTGGTTTTGGGTGTATTAAATACACATGAAAAACACTCATATTCCTTATTTTTTTTCGCTGTATAGGTTCGTAACAAAGATCTCGAATTTACAACGGAGGAGCTTTTTCGCTACTTCAGTGTTAAAAGCCACGAAAAAGGTATTCGCAATTGATGTTGGCAACCGCGCTAAAAAAAAAATCGTTTTCAGATGATTGTGTCTTGAAACGGAAAATAAAAACATTGCCGCAAAAATATTTGCTTATACGAAGTATAAAACATGTATTGGGTTTATTTGCAAAACTATTGAGGGTTGTCGCAAACTTTTGCGTCGTTTGCAAAACTATTTCGTTTCAGCATCACCATATACTGCACATCTGTATGATGGTACAATCCTGGCCAAATCTCGCTGCCCCCCGGCCCCCGCTCAATGTTGTCTCTCATTGTGCGGTGTGTGCTCCAAAAGCTGGAGAGAACAACATTGACCGGGGGAGCGGGGGAGTGGGTGACCGTGGCAGGCTCAGGAAGTGTCCCAACCACTTTGGCCAGGATTGTAGCTATTAAACTCAGTATTCCACAATGCATTCCTTTGTGCACGCTCATTACAAGTTGCAATAATCAGTTGAAATAGGTATTGTTGAGAGAAGTCACCTAAGAAGGCCATAGCACTGAAAACGATAACAATTAAGATTCCTTCCTCTGTAGCCCCGGAATATGAGATTGTGTACCCACAAGTAGTCGAAGCTGAAGGCAAGAGGAGTGTTGGCAAGGGAGCCACTGCCGCCTCATTCTTAGAACTGGAAGTCGAAGCCTTTGGAGAGACGCTTAACTTCATCGTAGACCACGACGACAGTAATTATGCCCCTGGACTCAAGGTTGAGATCTACACAGATGAAGGCATCCAGAAAGTGCCGCTTCGGACTGACTGCGTCTACACAGGGAAGGTAGCCGGTGAAAAGGACTCTCTTGCATCCGTAACTGTTTGTTACGGCTTGGTAAGTCATAGGCCTAGTGCTTCGGTGAATCCCACAGCTGCCACCAAAATGTTTGAAGAAGGGTTTATAGTATCATTGATTGGAATAAGTTATGAAATTTCCCAAATAAACAATGAAAGGAATTATTTCAAAAGTAATCCTTGTCTGGAGCCGACACCAAATGTCTGTTTGAATGCCTTTTATTCGGTTGTTTTATTTTCTGAATGGTGTCTTTTTTTGCAAGATGGCGGTCATATTTCGCAACCATGGCCGTGGTGAGCTTTACATCGAGCCACTAGATGACGAACATGCCGTCAAGCGAGATGTTGGTCGGGGTCACCCGCACGTTGCCTATAGGAACAGACCAGTGGAAAGAGGGGCATTCTGCGAGACAGCAAGTAATAGAATTTATTTGATTTTGTTTTTATTGATCACACTTTTCAAACAAATTCCGCATGTAAGTCAAAACAATGAAGAACTCACATTTCTGACGCAGATCATTCATTCTGAATCTGAAACCTGGAATGATCAACTAATGTTCAAAGGCTCAATTATTTCTACGCATTTATATAAACCTGCTCACAATCATTTCAATATTGATCTAACTTTGTTGGTAATTTTTAACAACTGACTCGTCAGCAGAGTTGTAATGACTCGAGTCAATGACTCGACTCGAGTTCGACTCGAGTCACATTTTTTGGCGACTCGACTTGACTCGAGTCCCGACGGGTAAATGACTCGACTCGACTTGAAGAAGGCTAATACGACTCGAGTCCCAAAAATGAAAGCAAAACTTATTTGCGAAAAATATTTGCAAAGACTATACGCCGCGCCGTTCGCGTTGCCAGTTTTTTGTTCACGTCACGTTATGTTCGCGAATAATGTACGCTCAAATACAGCGTACATAGTGATACAACAAACATACACCGAACATACACCGTGTCGCGGACTCCCACCTTGTGGTTCTATACCTGTAGCATGTAATGCTAAACCCGGAACCAGACTTAAAACGCATTTCTTTATCCGTGGTTTTATCATTGGTTTCGGGCGATTTCTTATTAAGCACTTGGTGGAACGCTGGCTAAATTTATTTCCCGATTTCACAAAACAAAATGGATACGGACGGGCCAACCTTTAAATAATCAGAAACAGTTTTGTATAATGCAATTAGGTTTTGACGTTGTCAGGGATCAGCGAACAACAAAATCTAGACCCGAAGCCAAACCAGTTATAAGACCGAAGTTTCACATCTTCTTATCTGTGACGTGAGCTAGAAACTGTTGGTTGGGTACCATATAGCATACTTTATGTCTTTGGATTTTCGTAATAGACTGGTGCCTTGTATTCTTTCTCACTTGTGTCTGTTGCTTTTTATTGTAATTTATTATATAGTGTTAAAATATTTGTGACTCGAATTGACTCGAGCTAAATACTTGACTCGACTCGACTCGACTCGACCACACACTGTGACTCGACTCGAATCGACTCGTTGATCTAATGACTCGACTCGACTCGAATCACTTCTTTAAAATGACTCGACTCGAGTCTCAAAAATCAGTGACTCGTTACAACTCTGCTCGTCAGTTTCTTATGACAGCTTGTCAAACTCCAAGCTTGATGCCCGACTGGTTTGTTTTTTAATTGTTCTCCTAAGCGCCACCAACTTTGCCGTTAACATTTGCTGACGAGCCGCCAGAAGCCTTGCCGATTGACACGAAGGCAACGAAATATCTGGAGCTGGCATTCATTTCTGATCAATTGGCATTTGTTCGTAAAGGGGCAAGCATCAGCGCAGTCACCGCGTGCGTTAACGCCCTCTTCAACGCGGTGAGTTCTCGGATAAAATCCGATATAATGACAGAAACCTGGCTCAAAGCGAACATCAGACTGTTTGTTGCAACTGAGAAGAATGTAGTAACCAACGCATAGCGTATCTCCGACCGATAATGTCACACGCAAATTGACCGATGCTATAGCACTATAACCGATAATGTAAAAAAAAAAACATTGACCGATGGTGTAGTAAATTTTGCCACACCATGGGTCAATTTATGTTACATTATCGGTTGGTGATACGTTATCCGTTGGTTACTACATTAGCGTAACACCGTTACCAAGCATCCTGCGAAATGATTCGGAAGAAAACTAAACCTGACGTTTGTTTTGAAAGGGTGCCCGCGGGCAACTTTAAACGTGCGCTAGCAACGGACTCCAGTTACCAGACATGTTTTGTTCCTGCATTCATATAAAGCAAAAACTTCAGCAGGATGCACCCTACCTAAACTTTGAAGCTATTGCTTCAAACGAAAAAAAGTGCAAAAAAGCAGTAAACCCCATACGCGCCTTTAAACACTCTCCAATAATCAATGTGTACCTAGTGTGTCGCTAAAGCATCAAATAAATGTTGTGAAGAAAAAAGGTAGGCCTAAGTAAAAAGGTCGATTGGAAATAAGGGAAAATTGGCCTACATGTGTTTGAGCTTATGCTAGTCTTTCATACCACATTGCGATTCAGATAGTGGCCTTTGTTGAGTTATTTTCCTGCGCCCATTGGCGGCGTTTAATTGGCGTCATTATCTAATCAAAATGAATTTGAAGGCCAGATGCAGTCAGTTGACCAAAAAGGTGTTGCTCGACCACTCCCCCATTATCTTTTTGCTAGTATTATTTTGTCGTCACCATTTTCGCCTTATTTTGGTACTTTTGAGAAGGCTCTTCACATTGTGCGCCTACCATTGTTGGTGATGAAAGACGCATATTTACAAGTATTCTTTTAGCGATTTTTCCTCTTTGCTTTTTCATTCTTATATATAATTTAGGTAAAAAATGTTTTGCAATTGAGTTCTCTGAGAGGAACTGGGCTGGTTCCCAGGCTGACGTACGTCAAGGTCTTTGGAGCATTTGAGGTAGGTTTATGACGAATAAGCTTATACAAGTCATGTAGTTATCTCACAACTTCACATGGAAGCGAGTCATGGAACAAATTAAAGTTGAAATTCATATTGAAGAATGGATTCGCTGAAGCCCATATGAAGTATTATTTTAATATTGCATCAAGTCTAACATGTCCAGGCTACATTTATCGTTGGACTGAAACTGTGTTTCTTTGTATTGATATATTTTTTGAACTTAGCGACAACAATAACGCAAGTTTTGCAAGGTAAAGTATAGTGTCTGCAACAAGTTGTTTATTTTGACTGTGGCTCACGTTTTAAACATATTCGTTTCTTGCCAATAATTTAAATATGCCCTTAAGAAAATGATAAAGACAAATAAAAAACTAGAGGTCAAGGCGTTTGTTGAGTTACAAACGCAACTATTTCATTAGACACAGCCCAGTTAAGGTATGAATAATTTTATGTCGAAACAAAGACCACGAGTATTTTACCTTTCCAGTACAACCAATGATTTTGTTTAAAACAAAAATGTTTCAACTTTCAGTATAGATTTTATGTTCTGGCTTAATATGGTTTAATATGACGTCACATGTCACGTGATGACGTCATCGTGACGTCACTTAAATTTTCATCTATAACACATCCCGGTTTAGGTGCATACCAAGTTTCAACACAATCAGACCTGTAGTTCTTTAGATATTGGCCTTCAAAATATGCAATTTTTAATATGACGTCACATGTCACGTGATAAAGTCATCGTGACGTCACTTAAATTTTCATCTGTAACACATCCTAGTCTAAGTACATATCAACTTTCATCCCAATCGGACCTGCAGTTCTGGAGATATAGCCCAATCTGTGAGAACTAGCCAAATTCTGCTGGAAAATAGTCATAACAGAAAAATCGCATATAATGTGACGTCACGTGACTCATGATGACGTCACGATGATGTCATTGTTCGGTACAGAACTTCAGCTGCTGCTCTAAAGTGTATGCCAAGTATAAAGTCAATCGAATTGAATTCAGATCCCAAAGTGCCGGTAACAAAAACGTGTACAAATGGATATGGGCAAAATGACTGAAAAAGAAAACGCGAGTATGTCTGTTTGATAACAGAACATTGGGCTTTCCCGCTCATTGAGTGGTCGGGCACACCCGACCACTCTCTATTATTGTTACGATTAATCTTTCTTTCTCTCTTTTTTTCCGTACAGCACGTTTCCGCGGGTTTTCTTAAAAACAGCATTCTAGGATCTCAATTTTAAATCAAAAGTTGCTAAATCATGTTCGAATTGTTTTGAATTGCAGCTTTACGCGATGTCGCGCACTTATCCGACGAATTATAGCAACCGCGCGCGCCTGTGCGTCGTTCCAATGCTTGTGCGCGCTGCGCCGAATAACAAAACGAACAACTAATTTAAATTTTCCTACGGTGCTTCTTAAGATGCACCGTTGGAAAGGCCTTCTTTCGTTGATTTCTTCAAAATGAGAGCTTGCCAGAGAGGATAATTTCACAGGGAGTTTAGTCCCCTTACTATCTTTCAACCAGTATGTTTTTCAACAATAATTACGCCAGTTACTTTTTTGGATAGCTGCAAATGACGGACTCGGGCTTTAACTAAATAGAGTATTGTGTTCGTTTTTTCGTGAGGTTGTAGACTATACTTCTTGTTCCCGGACTCAAAACCGCTTGACCTTTACTTCCGGTGTTACCGAAATTGCAATAGAAATTGAATCTAACTCTAAAATGGAAGCAATTTAATACTAACAAATCCATAATGGAAGTATTAAGTGAGGAATGCCAAACACAAAAACATAATTTTGACGTCATACCACAAAATGGCGCCCTCTAGCGGCACATCAAAACAGTTTAATCTTTGGAATGTTAAACCCCTCAATCAAATTTTCATGAAATTGCCCCTATATATCACGTGAACAATCATAAATGAATTTGCAAGATTTCATAATCATTACGTCATTAGACCGGAAGTTACTGTGGGGAGAATTCAACAATGATCATTTTATTTTTAATTTAAATCCATCATTTGATCCCTGTCTCATGACTGTTTTTTGCCCCCAAAATGACATCTGTTACACTTAATACTGGCCTTTTGCTTAGAAATACTATGACGTCATCAAACTGGAAGTTTGCTGTTTCTAAAATATACCCTTAAAAGACGCATTCTTTTTGTACAAAATAATTGGTAATGGAAATGTTTAAGTTCTTGATCCCTTTTTTTCTAACATTAACATTTTCATAACTTAACTGGACAATGTCTAATGAAATTGTTTACCCGACCACTCTGCGTTTGTAACAAATAACGCAAACCTCTAGTCTTTCTTTCTTTCTTTTTCCGTACGGCACGTTTCCGCGGGTTTTCTCCTAAACGGTTTATGGTATGAACTTGTAACTTGCAATAAATATCGACCCTCATGTGGTGCATTACTCTGACGTAATTATGACGTCATCGAGTGAAATTAAAAGCGATTTTAGCTGAAAAAGTGACCAATTACTTTCAACTTTAACTCTTGAAAAAATTGATCAATCATGTTCAAACCTTGTAATCGGATAGACCACTAATTGATGAACATTTGTTGTTTTTTACGTGAACTCGCTTGACCTGTACTTCTGGGTCTACCGGAAGGTCAAGGTTAGGTCAATTCAAAACGAAGAAGTTTAGTCTGAAATCAAAACAAAGCAACATGTAATCCAAACAGTTCACGGTATGATCATACAACCTTGTGTGATCTTGTACCATGTAACGAATATGTTATAAATTTTGTTACGTTATCATTACGTCATCAGATATCAAATTACAAGCGATTTAGGGCAAATTTTGACAAAATAGTTTGCGTCATATCTTTTGAACTAAAAAGAGTATCGTGTTCGTTTTTTCGTGAGGTTGTACACTATGCCGTGAAAAACATTGTTCCCAGACACAAAACTGCATGACCTTTACTTCCGGTGTTACCGGGAGTGCAATAAAAACCGAATATAACTCAAAAGCGGAAGCATTTCACTACACACATACAAATTAACAAAGTGTTTAGTGAGGAATGTCAGACACATAAAATAATGTGATGACGTCATCTTTTAAAAGGGCTCCCCCTAGCGGCACATAAAATAGTGTTTGTTTTTTTTAGTTTGAAACCATCCGTTCAAATTGTACAAAATCGCTTGTTCGTGTACCTAAATGTTTACTGAAATTTATCATACCCTAAAAGACGCATTTTTTTTGTACAAACAAAATGGTACTGGAAATGTTAAAGTTATTGATCCTTTTTTCTGAAATAAACATAATCATAACTAACTGGACAATGTCTAATGAAAAAGTTGTCTACCCGACCACTCTGCGTTTGTAACAACAAACGCGAACCTCTAGTTTTGTCTTGGTTTATTTAGAATGGATTGAATATGTATTCTGATGGTGACACCTTCCTTGCAAAATGTGCGAGCTGGCAAGATGATAATAAGAAACCGTCCTCAAGCAGTGAGCATTGGGACAACGCTGCATTCTTGACAGGGTGAGTATTCGTGCGCAACATTGGCGTAAATCTGTGTCTGCGAGTGAGGCGGATTATTGTCGGGCCGCAAATAAATCGAAATCGATTTCTAAAATAAAATTAGAATATCACAACTATTTTTAGTCGATATCGTATTTAAAAGTGGAAACAAATGTCTCGCTAGAAATAGCAATAAAAAAAAAAGCAGATTCACTCTCGGGGTTGAATCTCGAAAAGCAGGACGGAGAAAACAACAAAAAAAGGAACAATTCTAAATACTCAAAGTAAGAAAAGAACTAAAAACGAAACTTGATATGTGTAATACGTGGGGTGGAGAGCGTGAAACTCAAGGATTTCGGCCCTTGTTTTGAAAAAAAAAACACAAACCAAGCAAACAACCATGCAGGTTCCTTAATTTTGATCAGATGTTTCAATAATAGACTTTAGTTTCGGACTCCAAATACCTACATGTAATGCTAAAACTACTCCACACCCTTTGCGCTTTGTGTTTTCCTTTCGTCCCAAACAGAGTAGACATTTCAAGTTCGAGGTCTGGTGACGGATTACTGGGCATAGCATACGTTGGGGAATGTGGCCGGTATGGTACATCACTCAGTGAATTCATCGGATTGGATGCCACTAGTACTACCGCACACGAGATTGGACACAAGTGAGTTTAGCAGCTATTATGGCAAACATAATTATAATTGTTTTGGTATGTTATTCAAAAATGGCCGCCACACACAAGGAGCCTGTAATATTGATCCTCGGATGACAATTTTCGTTTTCTACATTCCGATGTAAATTCACTTCCCAGTGGCGAATCTAGAGGAGGATTGCAACCCCCTAAACACCCTTTCAGCCGCTGATTAATGTTGTGGTCCTCGTAAATTGGGGGGAAATTAATAAATGGAATGCTTAAGTTCATAGATGTATTCTCAAAATGCATTAGAATGCAGGAGAAAGTTTTGTGCAATTCAACATTTTAGGGGGGGGGGGGCATGCCCTTGGCAGGGCGTGCCTTAGGCACGCCTCAGTCCCTCAAGCCCCACACTTCCCGAAAGCTACATCCGCCCGTGCTTCCATTCGCATATAATATTTCGAGGACTTTAAAAGCTACGTGCTATCACAATGGTGATATCGTCAATTTGGCATGCTGTTTTGGCGCCTTCGCAGGACCGATTGCTATAAAAAACGCCCGCAAACGGGGCCGTATCGTAAGTCCGACGCCTCATAAGTCCGACATTTCTGGAATTATGAGGCGTCCGATTTATGGGACATATCGAACTTAGGGATTCAGCCACATTGCTCTGACACCTCATAAGTCCGACACCTCATAATTCCGACAATCGACAAACGATGTTTCGGACTTGAGGCGTCGGACTTATGAGGCGTCGGACCTATGGGCGTCGGACCTATGAGGCGTCGGACTTATGGGCCTTTATTTGGTTTGGAGATGAGATTTTGTCAGACTTATGAAGCGTCGGACCTATGAGGCGTCCGACTTATGCGCGGACCCCCCCCCCCCCCAAAAAAAAACAGCTTGGCGTGATTTAAAAAAAAAAAAAAAATTGGATTTTTTATTTATTCAATTTTCAAAATGTTCATGTCTACAAACGTGTCTAAAATCTCCCCATGCACCCTTATACCCATCACGTAAATCACTTTATTTCATCTACATTGGTTCAATACATGTAGTCTACCTCATTAGTCAAATGGTACATTATTAAAACTGAAGACACTTTATGGCTTGATTGGTACAGCTCAGATACATTGTGAGAAGATATGAATGAAAAACGTGATTTATGTTATGTGTACATGGTATGTACACAAAACGAGTACAGTCTTCCATGGGAATGTTTATTTCACAAAAAAATTCAAAATGACAGCACTGATCCTTGTGAACTTATAGTTATTATAATGTGAATGTATATTGTGAACTTATAGTTTTTAAATAATTATTAATATCCTTATTATTCTGGTTTATTAAAAATCCAATGTCTTGCAGCATTGCGGCTGAATTGCACATGGTTACAAAGATAAACTAGAGGTGTCTGTGTACAAACACAGCTGTTTCGGCTGTTTGGAAAAACTGCGACTTGTGACGACATCGTCATGATGTCACTATTCAATTCACGTATGACACTATAACAAGAAGTTACAACTCAATCAGTTATTTAGCTGAAACGAAACAACCGATATGATGTGACGATGACAGAAAGTGTTAGGTATGACACGTGACGATTTAAGGTACTTTTCGAAAGAGAAATGGGACAAATATTTCAAAAATTGAGAGAAAATGACAACATTAATTGTTTTGACCGCTGCACATTTTGAATAGGCCCTTTTGGTTTCATGCTTGACGGCCTATGCACATTTGTCTGACGGGGAACATAGAAATCATGAATGTTAAGAAGTTAAAAATCATTGTATTCTATTTGAATGAATTGATGAGGTTTTTCAAAATGGGCCGGGCAAATATAATTAAATATTAATAGCAACCAATCTAGCAAGAAAGAGTCAATTCAGAGGCTAGACGAAATGTGGTGACGGACATGGAAGCTTTTTTGGTATGTGTTTTCGTTTTCACGCTTAAAGCATTGAACTTTTTGCTTGAGTGGTGAAGGTGATGAGTTGTTGTCGTGCAAAAACAGATGGAATGCAATTTGGGTGATGTTAAATGTTTTTTTTTAAGGGAAGAAGGTCTTGACTGAGGCTTATGACAGAAACCAGTTGCAAGGATATGACATTCCTTGTAAGTGATATACATAAAATTGGTTGAATATGACGTCACATAACTTGTGATGACGGTATGAGGACGGCAATTAACTTTTATCTGTAGCACATCCCAATATAAGTACATAGAAAGTTACAGCTAAATATGAACTATAGGTGTGTAGTTATAAGCTTTAGAAACATGCCCGCTTCATGTGTTGTAACATGACTTGTGATGACGTCATGATGACTACAATTTTCTTCTGCATGTATAACAAATCCCAATATAGGTTACTACTTACTACCAAGTTTCAACCACATCGGACCAACAGATGTGTAGTTATAGGCCTCAGAAAAATAATGGCGGTTAAATACACTGAACCTGAGTTTCCCTCCAACGCTTTTAGTTTGTAGGCCTACGTATCTCACCAACCAACTTACAAAATACATCAATTCTGAGTATCCGTGTATACACCAAGTGTATAGGTATATATCGTCGTCGTTGTCGTCCACAAAAACAATCAAATCCGTGTTTCTGTCTTAACCGGCGTTGTATGTGAACCAAGCAGCTAACAAAACATATCAAATCTCTGTTTCCCTCAAACGCTTTAGTTTGCAAGTACTTGCCAACTTACAAAATACATAAATTCTATGTATCCCTGTATGCAATAAGTGTATGGGTAAATATCGTCGTCGTCGTCCACAAAAACAATCAAATCTGTGTTTCTGTCTTAAGCAGTGTTGTATGTGAACCAACATGGTAACACAACATATCGAATCTGTGTTTCCCTAAAACGCTTTAGTTTGTACGTACTTGCCAACTTACAAAAAGCATCGTTTCTGAGTATCCCTGTATGCAATTAGTGTATAAGGGATATCGTCGTCGTCGACGTCCACAAAATCAATCAAATCCGTGTTTCAAGGGGCTAACACAACATATCATTTATGAGTCTCCCGCTCAACATTAGTATAAACCTTTATTTAATCAAGCGGCTCATAAATCATGCCATTTATGCGTTTCCGTGTACGATGTGTACAAACCCTATGGAGAAAAAATGCACCTTTAATGTTACGTAACTTGACACCTGATGACGTCACAATGACGAATTTCATCTAAGACCATCTGTGGGTTGTGGTTTAAGTGTGTGCCAAGTCTGAAGTCGATGAGATTTACAAAAATGCCAAAGTCGACTGGTGGAAGAAAAACGTGCACAAACTCTATGGAACCTACTGAATACCAAGAAAAAAAACTAGAAATGTGTTTGTGGAAAAACACAAGCTGTATCGGATATTTGAAATACTCTGTGCACGTGATGAACACTTCATGAAGTCACCTCGAATGTCATCTGCCAAGTGAAAAGTCAATCAGAAATATAGTGCCAAAATATGATTTGAAGAAAAACGTGTACAAAACCTATGGGGGAAAAATACTTCTTTAATGTGAAGTAACCTTACACCTGATGATGTCACGATCACGAATTTCTTCTAGGACCATCTGTGGGTGGTAGTATAAGTGTGTACCAAGTCTAACGTCGATCGGATTTACGAAAGTGCCAAAGTAGAATGTTTTAAAACGTATACAAACCCTATGGGGAAAAATGCATCTTTAATGTGAAGTAACCTGACACCTGATGATATCACGAACACAAATTTCTTCTAGGACCATCTATTGGTGGACTGGTCTAAGCGTGTACCAAGTCTAACGTCAACCGGATTTACGAAAGTGCCAAAATAGAAAGTTTTAAAACGTGTACAAACCCTATGGGGAAAAATGCATCTTTAATGTGACGAAACCCAACACCTGGCAACGTCACGATCACAAACTTCTTCTAGGACCATCTGTGGGTGGTGGTCTAAATGTGTGTCAAGTCTAAAGTCCATCGAATTTACGAAAGTGCCAAAGTGGAGTGTTTTACGAAAGTTAAACCTATGGAGAAAAAGTCTGAAAAAGGAGAAAAAAAATCTTAACGAAAACAAGAGCTGTTTCGGTGTGTACACCGAAACAGATTAACGAAAACAATAGCTGTTTCGGCCGATGCCGAAACAGCTAAATATCAAAATATAGTGTTTGATGATGGTCCTTCATACGAGGTGGAGAACAGAAATCAGGCCTTGCACCTCTAAAAGGCATTCCATTAATCTCAATCTACATTTTTTTATGGAGAAACAGGAATAAGACTATCAATTGGGACTTTAATACACCTTTAAATGGTTCAGGTAAGCCTACACCAGCACAGCTGATTCACAATATTACTAAACAGATCAATGAATGGTTAAAGCAAAAGTGAGTGTGCTGTCATTAAAATTCAAATTCAAAGAAAACTTTTTAAACTCAGATCTTGACTTTAATCAATGATTCAGGTAATTATGCAAAACCTACAAGTAAGTTGATTCGAGGCTGATGAAGTCCACGTAGGGGTGTTTGAAAGTGAAAAGAACATATTACGCTTTGTAACTTGGTGGAATCGGTTGATTTAAATGATTAAAATGTCCCTCAATCAATTTATTTCGCCAAAATAAGATTTCTACAAAGAAGTGATTTTGATCAAAAAAGATCATTTGATTTAAATCTCAATTTAAATCAGTGATTAAAATCAACGTGATTTAAATCAACCAACCCTGTTTAGAACGCATCCCTGGTCAGTTTATTCCCATGAGCTGCAGTCAAGTTTAAGATGTCTGTGACTTATTTTAATGATACACTTGGCGTAATGATCTGACTTCCATTCGATTAATAATTGTTGTGTCAAGTTTGTACTGCCCTTTCACTAATGTCAAAATGTTGAAACGTTTTAAACGTTTCAATTTTTTTTAGGGTTTGATGTGTTTTTATCCAAATGTTAACAGGAATTAAAATGTGTAAACGCTTTTGTATTTTTAAGACGTTTTATGGTTGTACGATAAATACTATTAAACCTTTAGGTTGCATGCAAGTAGAAATAAACAAATAATAATGATACTTAAGAAAAATAGTGATGCGGAATGAATATACGAGAAAGGGGTTAATGACCAACCTCGTCCCCAGAGCTTTTTTATTTCCAACCTCATTTCCAATAGTAAGCCCTGAAATGGGAACTTGCTTCCTGTATCCTGCAACTTGGTGTTGTTATTTCCAATTTTATTACGTTTTTTCACGTTTACTGTTATTCTTTCGTCCACAACTTCTGAAAAATAATCCCTTCCTTTCCAATTTGCTCACATTAATATGCAGTGTGATACTGCATATTGGCTGGATAAGATTGTATTAATATTTTATCTTGAAACAAATCGTGTTTTCGTAACTCACGCTGCGACGAATTGATTCTGTTTTTATCCCAGACACCACATACAAAAAAACACTGGTGTAAAGAACAGGACAGCACCAGACAATTCTCATTTGCATATAAACGTATCCAAACAAAGTTGGATACGCAATTGACCCAATACCAGGGTGAGGGAGAAGGTATATAGTGGTGGGAGCGTACTGCTCGACACCCTGGGAACCAGGTTGGTTAATGGCGTTTCTGTGGTAAGATGTTATTGAAACCTTCAATGCCATTATGATTTTTACAATTTTCTCTGCAACGATTACAGCTTGGGCATGTACCATGATTCTGAAGGTCCCGATGGTGGTCCTAATAACCGCTGCGCATCAACGGGTTACTTGATGGCTAAAAACAAAGGTGATCATCGCTTAGATCTCGGCTGGTCGTCATGTAGCCGGAGCTACTACAATACCCGTATCACGTGAGTTGCCCCCCCCGGTACAAAACTACACTTAAAATCAAACATATCAAGCTTGCTACCAAAATTGGACGGAGCACTCTGATTGGCTAAGAATCAAGAATCAGGAGGATATGAATATTTATATGATTTACCCATCTCGCTCGGTGCAGGCGCCGGTCCCGGCCCCAATGGTGTTATTACACTGACGCGCGTGGTGAATGCTTCCAGCGAATGCATCAGTTCACCGTGCAACATAGCCTGGATCGAATCGATTGCGCGAAGGATCGAACGCTAATTCCTTGGTCGTTTGGAATCCATGCATCATTATATTGTCATTCGGAAAACACGATTTGGACACTATAATTTTCTATTTTACCACTGAGTGTAATATTTTGACGGAAATCGCTACAAAAAGAGAGAGAGAGAGAGGGAGAGAGGGGGGGGGAGAAAAAAGTGTGCATTTATCAAGCATGCTACGAACTGTATCCGCACTCTAATAATGGACGATTCCAAGTGACACAGCCAGGTTATCATTGGCTCTCTATGGAAACGTAATACATATGCATTTCGCTGCGCGCATAAATGAATAACGCCCGAATTCATATAAGTCAAGTCGTTGAAGACCTGTCAGATGTCGGATGTAAGCACGATACAGGGTGCCAGCTAGTGCCGTGCTTTGTAAATGTTGACGGACAAAACACGACAGTGTCCAACGACTTTATTTCAAGTCTAGTATGGATTGAGGTCTATTAACAGATGTGATAATTTTCCACTATAATACCTGATTTTTAAAGGGCTAGAACTATTTTCCTTATATACCATATTGATCTTGATTCTTCATTAACAGTCAGACGACATGCTACAACGATGCTTGAATTTTTACCAAGATGTGATTCAAATCGTAAGTATAATTTGCGTCACGTTCAATTATTAGCAGTAATTTCCCTTTTTTTATTGTTTGCCTCTCTGGACCATCATAGACTGGGTTCAATGTTATCACTTTGATTTTATGGTCCTTAATCAATAAACTGAGGGTCCTTTAAGTGATTTTTGTTGGGGGGGGGGGTTGAATTTGAGGGAGTAGATCGACTAAGTTTAGTATATGCAATGCTGTGTTCAAAATGAAACAAAATAAGAAAGACGTCTTGATAGGAACAATATCAGACAAGCAGAGTCTTTGCTTTCAAAAGCCGCCTACTTTCTAAACCATGGGATCTTTACCGAAAGATATTTATTTGTATTTTGTTTGTTTGTATTTTCAGGACAATGCGGGAATATGATCGACATTGGTTTTTTTTCTTTCGATTTAAAGTTTTTAAAATGCATTAAAAATAGGTCACTTGAAAGTATTGTTTTCATTCGTGAAGGACTGTTTTCATTGTTCAGCTCTTATACCAATACCGATAACACTCTACACGTATAGAACCCTGTATGTATAATTATATTGGTACAGGAGGACACAATAGTGTGACAATCATGTAAAATGTGTTAATTCTGTCTTGAAAGTGTTCGAGTTTAAACGTTTTCTTTTCACAAAACGTGCTATTCAGTATTCACATTAATCTTTACCCCGGGATAACAATAAGGCGTACGACGAAATTAGTGACTGAAGTTTCAAAATTAACAAAACGCTTAGCTGCAGACCGCTGTCAGGCAACAATTAAGACTGTTAATTAGAAGATACCACATTTCTGGCGGATTTTAACATTAAAAAGGACTTGATGAAAACCACCAGATATCATTGTGAAATTTCCAAAACAGTCTCCCAAATTGAGCCTCTTCACCTGTATTGTTCATCCAGATTATGTTTACACTAATGATCAGTCATTAATTGCAAGTCTTGTACTGTTCCCAAACAATGTTTTATGTAAATATTTGCTGCGGTTGTATAAACTTGATACAGTTTTTGTTTTCATTTTGAGGTGAAGGGAATACATTTGAATAAATTTGATTTGAAGCATTGAAGCATCAAAATTGTTCTGTTTCTGTTACTTAAGAAAGTATTGAGAGGATTTTTAAATCGATTTTCAGGGTGGTAATTATAATCGTCACCGACACCACGAAGTAACACTCATGTACATACCGGTAAAATTTAGCAATCGGAGAAAACGGCATCTAAAGTTGAACGCCTTCTAGAACAACACTTTGCGTCAAAACTATACAGAGTATTTTCAGTTGAGTTTCTCGATGTAGACACTTGATGTATTGATGTTATTAAATTTGCTGTTGTTGACCCGTTTGTGTATTAAAACAACAAGAAATAAGAGAAAAAAGATGAGTGCTAGTTCGTGAAACCAAAAAAGCTACGAAACTGTAAAATTTCGTTTTCACGAAGTAGCACGCTTCAATGTATTACACTAGAAGAGTGTTACTTCGTGGAAACGGAGGTCAGCACGCGCGCGCTCAAACAACGAGAGTGTTACTTCGTGAAAACGTTTTTGCTCGCATTTGAGCAGAGTGCATGCCATGCATTGCAATGGTAAATAGAACCTGAGTGTTACTTCGTGAAAACGAAAATTGTCACTTTTGCGCAAAAGTTGCCATGGATACTTAGCGTAATTATTAAAGTAAAGCTCTTGAAGCTTTGAAACTTCGTGCAATGGTAGGCCTTGATGAATAATGTTTAAAAATCCAAAAAAAAAGGAAATCGAAAAAAATATGGTTAAACACGGTAGAGTGTTACTTCGTGGTGTCGGTGACGATATTTATTGGACAGTGTCAAAAAATCTTTTTGGTGCCCACCATCGTAAGATGTATTTTCAGCCGAACTTTCCTGAATTTTGAGAGAAATATCATTAAGCTATAATATTATGACATCATTTAATTACGCTGTGGTGACCACAGGAGGGCGCTTTACCATTTTTGCGGGCCTATTTTTTTGGAAACATATTTTTGTTTTACAAATCTATTTATCTTCATTCAAACGCCGTCGTATTTGGCGTAGTTAGTCGTTGAATCATATTTGTTTCAGCACAAAGGGTCACCGTTAGGGGCGCTTAAACATTTTGGGTATTTTATGGGGGTGTTGCCCACCTTGCTGATATGGTAAAGCATTTCGTATTATGCATAGGCTTCCGTGTAAATAATACATGATCATCACTGCACTGTGATTTGGCACGTCAATTTTCGAAAAGCCATGACCGGACTAGGACTCGTTTTCGACCCAACTTGAAATGACTCGAGACTCTGACCCGGACTCGACTAAAGTGACCGAAAATAGGTATTGTTTTTACGAGTGTATGTAGTGAAACTGTGGTGTCAGGTTCTGGGGTGTTGTTAGTACTGATCGAGCTGTCTTTATATCATCATCAATATATAAAAATATATATTTAAAAAAAACCTATTAATAAAATCAAATCAAAATTAAACGATATAAACGTCCGCAAATGCTACATGTACATGTGTCTTCCATTAATCAAAATAAACTTAATAAATTAAACCTGGAAAGTATATAATATACATGTATATGTATATTGTGTGCTAAAGTAGAAAGACCCTTGCATGCACGGGTGACCTTTGACTTTGTCAGCGCCATAAAACTATGCAACATTGTAATATACACAATGAAGAAAATAGCGTGAAAATCTTCACCATACCAGCCAGTGCCTTGGGTCCCTGGGTTGCCTCTCCTTCCCTCGTTTGGGTCCCTAACTGCAAACAATATGGCCCTTCTATGGCCATAAAAATGAGTAAAATGTACTTTAACGAGACTCCAGCGAGCTCAGCAATGCCCGCAAAACCCGTTCACGTAAACTTATGTTTACTATTAAGCCGCACACAGTTAACAATAAAAATCACCAATGGATACTCAAGTATACTCATAGACTTTCCATTACTTATTGGAAGTTTACCCTCAGTACTACTCGACCTTATAAAAATGGATGGAACCCCTTTTATTTCACTTATATCCTCAAAAGGACCCCTTAATTATGCACGCACTACTTCTTATTCATATAACCCCCAAGCAAATCCACGGAAGGTCGACCCGTAAACTGAAACAGCGCCTTCAATCGGCTGTAAATGGGCAACTTTACAATTCTTATTATAGACATATTATTTCTAATCACTACACAAGTAAAGTCGTTTATTATAGAGCGCCTGTTGGTTTTGCTGTAAAAGGATTACTGAAAACACACTTGAAAAAAATATGAAAGCACAAATAACATAAATATATGCCCCCAAAAAACAGAGTTCACATCAGTTCACTTTGGTAAGATTTGGTGTTTGGTGAATCGTGGCTGAAGGGCGCTATCTAGATATAAGCGTACTTTCAGCAAAAAGTTTAGGTATAAAGCTAAAAAAGAAGACGAGATAAGAGTTTGGGTGGAACACAAAATACATAAAATCTTATTTCTCAAGGTAAAGACGATGGCGATAGGCTAGGTCGGATGATAAACAGCGAACTGCGAAAGTTGTACGGTATAAGAAGAAACTGATAGAAATCAAAATGACGTAAAAAAAGAAGAAGATAGAAATGCAAGTGGCCGAAAGATTAGAGCACGAAAAAAGCTTCTAACGAAAACTTACGATTTCCACATCTCAGTAACGAAAAAAGAAGTTTAATTTGTACGTTAGGCACGACATTTTTACCCTGTCAGCTCTTACGACAATAACTCTACAGCACTAGCCTTAATTTCAAGGCTGTGCTGTTTCAGCGGACGCGTATCACTGCCATGGCAACAGCTCTGGCCCCCGGCCCTGTACACACACGGAGAAACCCCGATAGTCATACGTAGTATGAAACCCGCAGTACATGCACACCAGTATGGAGCCCGTTTCTGGCGAGGGCCCCCTGCTGGAAGATTGTGACATCGGTTTTTCTGAGAGACGTTTTGGATGAATCAGAGATAGAGAAAGTTGAAGAAACCAAACATTTTATTTTGTCCGGATAGATTTAACGGGAAGGTGCATTGAAAGGACTATAAGGTACACTTCATGGCCGGTCGTATGGCCAATGTGTGGAACGACGAGCAAGCAAATTTGTTTCTTCCTGTCCCTCCAGGGACCAACTTTAAGTGTGTTGGGCTGGCGGCCGGAGGGTAGGAAATATTCCTGCAGGGATTTCATCAACTCTTATTGTTAGCCCAGGTCAACAGGCGGAGTACAATTTAATGGAGCTGCGACATCGTCGTCAGGGAGACAAAGAGACATAACTGGAGTCAGGGCAGAGTATCAGGGAATTCTCTGCGTTGGCGTATCCCGAATTCTCAGATGAAGGAAGGGGCGTACCGACTAGCGAGAGGATTTTCATGGATTAAGTTGGAAAAAGGGCGATTAGAGAAGCGATTTTCAGGGCCAAACCAAATTCCTGGATGACTCGATTAAGGCATATCTGGCTGCTGAGAGCTACCACAAGGTGCCATGTCTACCCTGCAAAGACTCTCTCATCCCTCATAATCAACCGAGTAAGCTACAGGGTGTATCAATTGAAGCGGTCCCACGTCCAAATTTACGAACTAGCTCCCAAAACTAGAGGATGGACATGGCTGGGTGAAGACCGATGGCACTCTCGAGCCACTTTGGTCACTCGGTCTAATACTTCCTCCTTCACTGCACTCGTACAGTTACTTTTGAAGCAGATTTTGTGGTAGCTGTGAATCAACCTCGCCATTGCACGCTGGAAATACCAACACCAAGTACACGATATTAACCCATTACATGCTAATTGCGGTATTGAATCAGGATACAGGAAGAAAGTTTCCCATTCAGGGCTCACTATTGGAAACGATGTTGAAAATGAGGTAAGCCCTGGGGACGAGGTTGTGCTTGCGTCAGTTGTACTTTGCACTTGACTCAGGTATCTGTGACGTCAAAACTCACGAGATTGTCACTTTTCCTCTAGGGCTACGTACCAGCAAAAAGTTTCACTCAAATTGCTGATGAGACTACGGATACTACGGATATTGTTTTGGGGCAACCTTCAAAAATCCATTAACTCGAGTTGAATGAATTTGTGGTAAAAAGGCTCGAAAAGCTCTTCAACTTAGCGAACTCCAACAAAATGAACGTCAAAGTACGAACCTTGGGTGAAATATGGAATTGAGTTTTTTTTTTTGGTTAATTGCTGGCGGTGTTTGTTTGTTTGTTGGTGTGTTTATTTGTTTTTCAGCTTCGTTGACACGGTTGAGGAGGAACCGAAGACACATTGTAGTAACTCTAGAGTTCAGGCCGTTCCTACGCACATCTCTCGAAAGCGAAGCGTGAGACCGACCGTTGTTCATTTTTATATAACGCCTATCGGTACTGTGCACTTTAAAAAGCCCTGCCAGCAGGTCAGATTTGAGCCGGACGGCGGCACATATTTCACCTGGTACTTTTCAGGGTCAAAGTAACATTTTCCCGATCTTTATCCAAGTCAGGTCCCCCCGAAAACCTTCGGGATGAAAGACATTTTTTCTATACATTTGGCGGAAATGACCAGCGGAGACTTCATGGGGAATATTACTGCCTTACCTTAACCGTTCAGAGTAACACAAAATGCGTCTGTGTCTACTTTGTTGATTTTTCATCATCAGCTCTAAATGCATTTCAGCATTGGCCTACGGATGCAATCAATTTGAAGCCCCATTAGCCCTAGGCCTATTCATTATTTAATTAAAAGAAACAGTACAAGTGTACCTATAAGTATAGTTTTACGATTAAGTGGTCTCTTCACGTTTATTAATTATAACGTTTGATGTATTCGAATGTAATTGTGAAGCCCATAATTCTGAAGTGTTTATTGATGCTGGTAGGGTAACAAGGACGTTTGCATTGGGCGCCAAGAAGCGCTTTCTGGGGCTGCATGAGACGGTGTGAGGGCTTCTGTTTGTCTCCCGTTGTACAAAAAACGGGGGTTTGGGCGCATGGACAAGCCCAAACGCAGTCTATAAATCGCCCACAAAATGACCCAAATTCGTCATTCCTACGACTCAACAGCTGCAGAATGATGCTGAAGATTGTCGTGCTTGCCGTGCTGGCCTACA